TGTCTGGAGAGAGGGAGGTCTGGGCATCTTTGCTTAGACTGCTGCCCCCGCGACCTGGTCCCGGATAAGCGGAAGAAAATGGATGGATGGATGGACTGAGGCTGATACTGAAGTGGGGTGGGCTTTCAGATTCAACTGAAAAATGATCATTGATAAATGATGAGGTTACATAACTCTCAGTGTGAAACAAACTGGAGCTGCATAAAATCAGTGAGCCAGGTCGTGAAGTAATAGCAGTGACTTCCTTCCTGCAGAGCTACAATGCTTGGAATCAACTGCACTTTGACTTCACTTACTTGTCACCAAATTTGTATTTTTATTGCTTAATCATGGGCTCAAAATTCTACATGAGGACCATAAACTTTAACTGTGATCACAGCAAATACGATATATTGTACTTATTTAGCAAATCCTTAAAATGTGTTTATTCTGAACAATTACACGGCTTCCAACCAGATATTTATAACATGTAATTAACTTAAAGCATACAGGATGTGAGACCGGCAGTATGAACCATTGTACAATATTATTTAGGAAAGTGTACACTGCGGTCTGGCCCTCTCCTTTTGATATTTGTTGCTTGGCTTAATGACACTGGTTCATATAGTCATCTGCAGTACTGCTGTTGCCACTAACCTCTGCCACATCTTCTGTCTGCCTCATGTAGGTGGGGATGGCTCCTCCATTCCTGGAGCTGTAGGACCTTTCTGAACAGGCGCTAGATGCGTCACTGTTAGCATCGTCATCAGAGTACATGCTGTAGTTCTCATACCGCCGCCGTGCTGGTTTCTTCTGCAGGCGGAACAGAAGGACTATGAAATTAAAATAAGAGTAATAAAGGGCACAGGATAAAAACATTCTAAGTGAATACAAACACAGCTAACACACAGGTAAGAAGCAGGAGAAGAAGCTGACCTTGGACCGCATGTCTCCCAACAGCTGACAGCATTAAACAGAGGTGGAACCAGGGGTTAGTCAACATAAATATTTGCGCTCCAGGTGTGAGCTCTACATGGCCACAGCTAAATGGAATGTGCACAGAGTGGGTTTTGGCATGTTTCTGTATGAAAGTTTGTGCGTTTTCATACCAGTGCATCTGCAAGAGCCTCCTCTACATCTGAGCCTGTGTTGAGGACCCTCATGGCACTGACTGAAGAAGAGAGACGACTGGACTGACTGATGCCAAAACCTGATCGTGAACAGAGAGAGACAGACCAATGGAAAGAGGAAGGACAGACAAGACAGCAGGGGGAAAAATGTTAAAAAAATTCAAAATAAAAGACTCAAGTTCAGCAACTCTCCCCCCTACTCAGCCTGTCTCTCACTTGTCCACTGACGATCCACCATCCAAGTGTCTCACTCTTTTCATCATCCATTCTGACATTTATTCAACCCATACATGCTGCACTTCCCATGAGCCAACCTAAAAGTTGATGTGATGACTTGTTAGGTGACACTGCAGGTGCCACTGGAGGAGAAAGAACACAGGAGAACACCTTGGTGTCCCCACAGATGGGGCAGAGCTAAATAAAGAAAACAAATGGGCACTGGTAAGACTGGCGGGATGGTTGTGAACTGGCAACTGAACAGGTGGAAGCATGCGATTCCACTGGAGGGCTTGACATCCTGGAGCATAATGTAAAAAGAAAAAACGAAGGCCGGCAAAATATTGAAAAAAGATGCGTGGCGCTAAAAAGAACTAAAAGAAAATGGAGCAAACAAATATTAAGGCAAAGTAGGTGGGTGAGCTACAGAGAAATATATGTACTCATCCTTCACCTGCAGCCCCAAAAGCATCAGGTGTGTGGAGCGCTCCAGTGGAGCGAGAGTAGCTCCGTGTTGCTGCAACCAAGATTAAAACACACACATACAGAATTTAACACTCACACGCACAAGACATACAAAACCCACACGCTGATTTGAACAGAGTGTGGGAGCAGGAAGAAAGGCTGAAAAACATGCAAGTGACGTTTTGTGAATCACCCTCAACTTTCCAAAGTGTTGAGATTTTATTTTTTAAATTTGGTTTAAAATCATACATGAAGACCTTATTTGATTTGCACTAACTTAATGTAGAAAAGAATGGTTGTTATTCTTTTTTACTGTCATACTCATCCTGATTTTACTACTCATCCCTCCTGGTTACCTGTCAGCTACTGCTACTCACCAAGGGGAGTGAAGGAGCGTACGGGGCTGGCGTCCCGGCTGCTCTCCCTGCTGGCCTCTCTGCTGCAGCCCTGACTCATACTGGGCCGTGGGATACGACTGCCCCGAGCTAACGCCAGCCGGGTTACAATGCCAGGCCACAGCAGAGGGAAAGGAAGAGGAGGGGGGAAACAAGGAAAAGGCAGTGGAGGAAAGAACAGTGGTAGTAAGAACATAGAGGACAAAAGGAAGGAACATGAAGATGACAGGCGAAGAAAGAAAGCAGTAAAGAAGAACAGAGGGGATGGTACATGGATAAAGACATGAATAAGACAGTAGAGGTAAGAATGAAAAACTAAACAAAAGACTACGAGCACAGGTCTACTGGCCATGAGGGAGCATCTCAGCTGACTTTAGTCAATTATTCTCCCAATTCTCCTCAGAAGAACAGGACCACAGCAAACTACTTTCATCTTACAATGATTGTACTGATTATAATTTTGATTAGGGCTGCAGCTAGAAATTACAGTCTGTATCATTCAGTCTATTCACGTTATTTTAAGTGATGTTGTGTACCTTATAAAAATTTACTAGGAAAAAAACAGCACAAAAACACACAATCACATTTGAGAAGCTAGAACTCTTTAATATCAGACATTCTATGAAAAAATATGAATTGACTGTAAAAAATTGTCAAGGATTAATATTACGTTAATTGGTTACTTGTTTCTGCCCCAGATGAGATGCACCTGACAGTAGCACAGGGCTGCTGGACTCACATTTACACAAAACAAAGTCTGACATTCACATACACTCAGGCACACACAGAAAGGAAAAAGTGATTTAGCAATCGTGGGGGTGGATGAGGGAAGGATCTGCATTTTCATCCATTAGCATCGCAATCAACTTAACTGTTCATTGCTATGTTCATCTTTTTCATCATCTACCAAGACAATCAGGGTTAATTACAGCCTATTAAACGGTCACAAAGCCCTGATGCAGCTTCACTGATCCTGCAAGAAGGTTCGTTCACTGACCGCTAATAGGTTAGTAAAGAGAGGGAGGGGGTGTGTTCATGCGTGGACATCTGATCAGGGACACCCTTCATCAGAACAACGCAGCCAGGAAGTCACAGACCGGTTAGAGAGATGGAGGTATGCTACAGCTTTGAGGAGGGATTTGGATGGCGGGAAAGATATGTAATGATTAATGGAAGTAAAGAATGAAGGATGATTAAAGATGAGGAGAGAAAGTGAGGATGAGATGAGACAGAAATAGATAACAGGGCGGTGTGGTTGAGGTCGGAGCCTTACCTCCTCTGCTTGCTCCATTGTAGACTGAACTAATGCTGGAGGGGGCTACAGGACAGAGGAATGAAGAAGGAGAGAAGGGAGGGCAGGTAAAGGAGCAGAGGAGGAAATGGTGAACAGGACGGAAGAAAACTGTTTATCTAAGGGGCTGTGGGTGGTTGAGTGTAGTTTTGTGTTCTGCTTGTATAAAAGCAAGCAGTTATGTAACCTCTCATCATTTGCTATCCAACTATTGTAGGAACATAAATATAAAAGGAAGAAGTTTATTGATCAGTTGAAATGGATGCGGCGGGGGATGCGGCTGCGTCTGTGTCCGTCCCCGCTGGAGCTGCCCAGCACCCTGTGTGCCCCCGAGCTCATGGTGCTCAGGGCTGTACTTGTCAGCACACGACCTGGGGAGCCACTCCGGCTGCCAGCTACAGAGAGACGCAGAGAAAGAAGAGGAAACACACAGAAAAGGAGAAAGTAAGAGTCAGAGCCTTAAATTAGACAAGGGGCATTTCACAATGAAAGTTATAGATCTTTTTATAAAAATGGTGGCAAGTTTTGTATACATACAACCGAATGCGATCAACTAATGTTACTATGTTCCAAGTACTCTTTTCAAAATTCAGTATGCATGTTAAAACTGAGGTCACTGGAAAGAGGATTCTTGGGGCTAGGAGAGCTGAAAACCAAACTAAAAGGAAAGTGTATTTACAACGTGCAATGACTTTAGTGTTGACACATGTTAATCCAAAATCTTTCATATAAAAGTGACACTGACAACTCCACAGTTTTACATGAATATCTTTGGTAAGAGGTGTCAACTTCTCCTCCCCATGATGTCCTGTCTCTGAGTGCAAAGTGTGTCGTCTTCTACAGTGACACATTACTATCAACCAGAGAAGCTGCTCTGCAGTGCTGAATATTAAGTGTGCGAACAGACTTCTGGCGAACAAGCTCCAGAGCTGAACATCAAGACGGAGCTACAATGACTGAATGTGAGTGAAGATGAGCATGCAGACCAAACTCTCTGGTTCTCTCAGACACAAAAACATACACACACACACACACACATAAAAAAAGACTTCATATGTACTAGCACCCAGTGTCACAAAGCTAAATAAATACATCTAAGTGACGGGAAAGAAACATAGAGGAACTGTTCTGGCATTTCAAGGCAATATACAACAAACCGCAATTTTATGAATTTATATTTTACCATGTGAATATTTGAGCCTCTGATGAGGTCTAGTTACTCTTTACTGTTACTTTTCCCAGGTAGCTCACCTATCCTTTCTCCCGCTTCCATTTACAGACACATTAAACCCATGCTGACACTGAACCTACAGCTACAATTCTGTTAAGCTGCTAGAAGACTTTAATGCCTGTTGAATTACAACATGATCTGATTTTAACACTTTGACTAGGTTAAAGACAATGAACTACATAAGTCTACTAAGCCAAAGTAGACAACACTTAGGTTTACATTTGTGGGTGCCTATTACACTCATGAAATGTGAATGTCTGTTTTACAAGTAAAAAGAGTTTTACTTTTGAACTCCACCTTTTGTTTCTACTTTCGTAGTATAACTACCTTTGGCTCTTTCTCTTTGAAGAAAATAATTTGGCTACATCCACGCACACACAATAGTGCATAAACACGAGGCTCCAAAAACGGTGTGTTTATCATGATCGTAGAACAGCCATGTTAACAGTATGTGCCTACACGTCCCAGCATGCCTCAGCCAGAGTGGTGGGTGGGTCTGAGGTGATCTTTCTGGGTGTTCGTGAAGGAAGGGGCAGTCAGTGCACCAGACGACAAGGAGCTAAGATAAAGAGAGCGGGTAAAAAGAAGTAGCGCTGGACTCTTACCACCAACAGGGGTAGCAGACTGAGATCCTGAGGCATTAAGCCCATTGGTTGAGAGGAGGGGAAAAGCAGAGGCGAAGGGGAAGGAACAGCAGATTAAACCTGATGAATTATGGGTGTTAATGGCACAGAGTACGATGGAAGCGCATCCTGGTGTTCCATACAATAAATGAAGGAAAGGCTGAAGAACTTTGATTAAATAAATCCATTTATGAAAGAAAAAACAAGTGTCACTTAAACACACACACACTGAACTGGCTGCAGATGATTGCCTGGGAGAAGCGGTGCATGTTGGGAGAGCTGGCATTTATATGAAGCAAAGCCTGTTCACAATGACGAAAAAAAAAGTGACTCAAATAAAATATGCTCAAAAATACCCACACAGTTGCTTTCACACATATGTAGAAATGATTCTAACCCTCTGTGCAGCTGCCATTTCCTCTCTGTTAATCTGCAGTTCTGAGATTTGGGCTTTGACTTCATCAAACAACTTCCATTTGGTCTCTTATTTACATGTCCAGATCTGATTGGTACATTAGGCTGTGGTCCAATTACTTTGCACTTCTGAAGTGGTCTCCTAACTGTTACAAGCAACATGTTAGCTCTAAGTGTTCTCGGAGAGCAGTTACAATCTAATTGGCTTCTGTATAACAGCAGTGTAGCTTACTCAGTTGCTTGCGTTACACTTCTTTTTAAAACTTTATTTAGTGAATTTCCAAACAGATAACAGGCAGATAGCATCAGTAAGTGTCAAGTAACATCTGAAATAGACAAAGAATAAAGAGCAGTTTGTCTTACACTTCTTAAAAGTATTATAAATAATGTAAGTGACAGCCAGAGCCAGGCTAGAGCTGCGGAATTAACTGTCCACCACACCATCCTCAGTGATAAGACACGGCATGCAGAGAAAAACATTTCACTCTCTCCTCTTTACAAAAAAACACCTTGACCAGAATGAGAGCAATAGCAGGTAGGCCACCATTCCCACTGTGGTATACAAAGACACACACACACAAAACGGAATACCTGGTGTGCAATCGGATTCGTCGGAACCTGAAGGCACAAAAACATTCACATGGAGCTTATTGTCACCATGAAGGCAACATGTAAAGAAAGTCCAAAATAAGAGCCTGAGAACCTACAAACACACACTCCAAGAAGCCACATACACAAAGTATTTCTGTTGGTGTGTATGTGATGCTCTAAGTGAACTCGATACCCAGTATATCCCACTCAGCTAGGTTTTAGTTATGCTGTGTGTGAGGGAGCGCACATACGTTGCGACTGGGAGACCATCTTGGTGCGGCTGCGTCCCCGTGAGTCCACCTGACTGGACACACTGCTGGCAGTAGACAGGGGCTGCTTGGTACGTACACGCCCTGTATGTATATGGAGAGGAAATAGTAAAAACACACAAAACTCCACACAGTACTCCCAAAGTTACCACACCTAATCACAAGAAGTTTATAACCAAATGGAACCCAGAAACTAAGAAGCACTAAAGGTCACGAAATGCAACTAGTGCTGGAAACTGCTGAATGGTCTGATCTTAAACTAGACACTCAGATTCAGCCAGGTGCACACACACAACTACACCAGGGATGTTTTAGTTGATTAGAATCCAGTCTTAGTAATGTTAAATTCTGAAAACTGGTTAATAAACCAGTTGTCCAAGTATATGAAGCATTTGATGAAACTAGCAACCATCGGCAGCATTTGAAAGAATGAGTAAATATTAAAGCTAACAGGGCAAAGAACTTATCGATTAAAAGGCAGAACTTCTTAACTGCATTAAAACATAACTGATTAGTCGATAATCAACAGTTGCCAATCATCTTCTGTTGCTCCCACTGAATCGAATGGGTTAAGTATGTCCAAACTTTTCAACTGCAATTTCTGTTCATGTCAAGCCATTCCTCTATTCAAACACTAGCTCATATGTACTACTAAGAAAAACAAACATGATTGCACAATTAAGGTTGGATTGGTGATGGTAAACTTTTTGATTTAGAAACTCAGGATGTCAATTAAAATGTTTCAACTAGAACATCCCCAAAAAGTGAGTACAACCATATAAACCTAACCAGTCTTACCATTGTCTGACCTGGTTCCTACAGATGGACAAAGAAGGGGCATGTTGTAAATATGAAATACTTCACCTAATAGGTGTATAAAATGCAAAATAAACATCCTAAGTATCCTAGTAAAAGTCAATACCAGAATGATCAAGCTTAAAACAGCTGGTTAGACCATTTCCCTATTAAAAATAATATTAAACTGTAGCAAAACATAAGATGATCTTCGACATGTAATTATATTCATGATGTGATGAGTAGGACAGTAACACAAATGAGGGATAAATACAGAGACAGATGACAAATGAAAGGAAAAACCAAAATAAAGTGTCTCATTAAGGTGTTGGGCGACCACGTGCCACCAGAGCAGTTTGAGTCTGCCTTGGCAATGATTCTCCAAGTCTCTGGACTCTAGACCCTACTGGCAGGATGAACCCCACTGATCCATAAGATATTCCCTCCTTTGTTTCCCTCCTGGTGTTCTGATGATGGTGGTGGAGATGCTGTCTAATACATACAGTATGTCGGTTATAAATCTCCCATAGGTTCAAACTGAGTTGAGATCTGGTGACTGTGAAGGTCATAGCATATTATTCACATCATTTTCATACTCCTCAAACCGTTCACTGATCCCTCATGCCCTATGGATGGGGACACTGTCATCCTGGGAGAGGCCGCTCATTTATTCTGGTTTTCCCTTTAATTTGTCACCTGTCTGTAAATTTGATAACAGGGGGCGCTGTAGCCACACACTGCAACAAAAGGCCTTAACATGGACTGTAATGAAGTGAGAAAAGGGACAGAAAAACAAGAGAAAGAAGAAATTTGAGTAGCTTGTTGGTGGTTGCAAAGTGAGACGATCTTACCATCCATTTTATCAGAGGTCTCATCTTAAGTAGCAGAGAAAGAAAGAGGGTGAAAGGCAAAGGGGAAAACAAAAGGAAATGAAAGGATTGATAGAAATGATTTTTAAAAGTGAATGAAAAGGGAAAAATAAAAGGTGCCAGTAACAGGAATAAAGAATGTAAGATAAAAGAAAAAGGGCAGAAAAGAGAAACAAGAGAACGCTGTGTATTAGTAAAAGACCATCTGTTTAACAGAGAACCATGCAACATAGAAACATACAGAGACATACCAACACACTATACAATATTCATATACAGAACATGCACAGACTGTCCATAACAAAACACACACAGGATACATTAACAGGTAATGAGCAGGCAGCAAGAGAGGAGGGGAGCGAGGCCAGTCCAAACACTGAAACGTGAGTGTGTAAGTCCATCCTTATAGACTGTTTGGTACAAAGATGTTGTGAGTTGTGCTCAAAGTGACTTTAACTTCCTGCTTCTACCTGTCAGAAACTTGAGTAGTGCTTCCTTTAATATGGTTGTAAAGGACTGTGACATCCTGGTTATTACATGCAGACTAATGTCTGCACTGATCAGTGGTTTAACTTGACTGGCCCTTACCCAGTGAGGAATAGGAACCAGGGGTCAGTCGGCCAGCTCCCCCGGCGCGTCCCACGTGCCGGTACTTAGCGGCTGCTGCTGCGTTTACATCCACGTCGCTACGGGAACGCTGCAGGGAGGCCGGCGACACCCCACCCTTTGAACCCGCAGGGACTGATAGGACAGGAGGAGGAGTGCATTGGAGAAGGGATGGGAAGTGATGAAAGGATATATACACAACACAAACACATGCAGAAACCACACAAGACATACTGTACACAATATTGATACACAAACTGAAATATCAGAAAAAGCCAGACACCTGTGTGTTGCAACATAAACACATAACCAGATGTGACTGTACAGGACTGGAACACAGGCAAGATGTAAATGAACTGGATGGCAAATCTGAGGGTGGTCTGAGCTTTGTTGAAGCTGCTGGGTATGTGTGTGTCACAGGACTAAGTGAGTATGAGATTATGTGTTTGAGAGAGATTGCATATGTGTCTACCGCTATGTGTGTGTGTGTGTGTGTTCCTGACTCACCTCGGCCTGGAGCTGCTGACCATTTCGAAGACAGAGGGCGACTAACAAAAGAGGGAGAAAAGTAGGTCAGCACACTACAAAACACACACACAAAAAGTACTGGGTGATAGAAATAGTTTACAGATTTTCAGCAAAGTATGAAGTGATATTACACTGTGATTTCTATAAGCAATGTGCAGAGGTCACCCTAAAAAAAGCTATGGTCACAGACTTCGAATGTAAACAAGTAAATGAGCTTCGGAAGTTTTCAAATAAAAGTGTGAATGAGGGGCAACAAGTAATGCTGATTTACTGAAATATTTCATTTTCCTAACCGTTTGGATCTCCCAATGTTTTTAAGACCACACGTGAACTGTGTATTTTACATTTAAACTATCTTAAAATAGCATGCATCATAATTATATTATTTACATCATATACACTTTTAGTCAGCACTACAACACTGCTTATTCTCTGAGCAACAACTACAAACTGTTATCATATTGTTCAGTATTCACCGACAGCGAGTCTGGTACAAGCAAGTGTAGCAGGAAAGAACATCTTTCTGCTTTGCTCATATTTCAGCTTGCTGTAGTATTGTTTGCCAGCAGAACACAATATAGACATGGTAAAACAATGACAGATCCAAAACACTGGGGTTGGAATACGATGCCCTGAATAACCTGAGAATTTCTTTGTCTGACTTTTTTTTTTAAGGTTTAACATTCACAGATGAAGTTACTGGGCATTGTGTTTGTCTACTTTCATCCTTTACTGATGCATAAAGCCGAAAGGATGAGATATTAGAGGAGAACAGGGAAAGTAAACCGAGGAGATTTGATCCATGTACAGCAAGAGTATCCAACAAAGAGTGTACAAGTCCATAGAAGGCACCTTATAAAACATTTCTCAAAATAGTTCCTGCCAAAATGACTTCAGTGTTCATTTTTCCAGGCTAAAAGTGCTGTGCTGAACATTGATTACTTGAGGCTCTCTTGAGAGGAGGATGACGAGCGGTCACTCTGGGGAAGTGAGGCCACACTGCTAGAGCTCTTCAGGCAGGACTGAAGGGTCCTCTGATATGACGGCTCCAAGGAATTGTAGAGTGCATCAGCCTCTGCTGGAAAGTGGTTCCTCAAACCCCAGTAGGTTCTGATAGAGACCACAGAAAAGAAGAAAATGGGAACGGAGATGGACAGAGAAAGAAGAGAAGAACAGATACCAATGGAAAAAGTCAGAGTGAGGCCAAACAGATGGGTGAGAAAGGAGGTAATAAGGTGATGGAGGGAGAAGAAGAGAGCACTCAAGGCATTCAAACAGGAAAAGGAGGGTGCTGAGAGATTTAACAGTACTTCTCTTTCACATAATGTTATTTCAAAAAAATGCCCATGTGTGTGGTCCTTACTTGCGGGCCTCCACTCTGGCCTCTGAGTCGGCATCTCGAATTCCCTTCTTGATACTTTCAGCCAGAACAGCAGTGTGCCTGCAGAATACACACAAAAAGTATGAATGCCAAGTGTGAACAAGAAGAAAAACATGCTTTAAACATGTTTTATCCTTTGTAAACGACACTGTGAATGCTGTATAGTCATGCTTTTGCTTTGAAGCATGCTGAAATCAATCCTCACCTCTCCAATGAGTGGGTTTGCCATTCCTGTAGCAGAAGATCCAAGAAAACATAACAGCGCCTGGTGATGATATGTTTCCATCAGCACAAAAACCACAGCTTAATATCATCACTAACATTCTTATTAGGATTTTATGGTTGAGCATTATCTGAGAGCTGCTCATCAACACACTAGCCCATTTATCATTGTAGCATCTTTGGTAATCTCACCTTCTAACAGCAACAGACTTGGATGTGCAGTTACTGGTTATCAGGGGGATGAGCCTAGGGACGTGGGTGTGCTGCACCCGCAGACAAAGAGCAGAATGTGAATGATGTGAAAAGGAAGATGCAGCAGCAGTACAAACACTGAACATGAGGTATCTAACAAGACTGTTCAATGATGCATTTGCAGAACTCACCCGTATGATGATGCGAATGGCCAACACACCAGAAGTTGCCATGACTTTGGCACAGTTGGGGATGAGGTTGAACAGGACAGGAACAATGGCTTCTGCTCCATGGTCAAACTTATTCCCCAACACTGATGAGAGGTGGCTACAAGAACACACACTAGAAGTGTTATAAACACCGAACAACCAAAAGTGTTCCTTATACACAAAAACATGTAAAAATTAACAGGTTAGATTATGGCCGACAACTGAGTAACACAGTAAATTCTGCATATTTTGTCAAATTTGCCACCCGGTGATGAACGTTTCTGTAAGCAACACTCACGCCACAGTGATGCAGGCCTCTCGGACCACTTGTGAGCGCAGGTCTTTTGCAGACAGTTTGAAGGCTCCATCTAGCAGCCGTAGGTGCTGGTAAAAACAGTCGTAGTTGGCTGCGCCTGCCACCAGCAGTGACCGAATTTTTTTCAGCTGTAAAAAAAAAAAAAGGTTAAAAAATGCAGAGAACACACTCTTCGTGATCAGATAGTAAAGTAATGTAAAAAAAAAAAAAAGGGTTATTTTAGATCTACTGACAGCATTGGCTCTCTGGTCCCAATCATGTTTGTCGTCAGAGCAAATCTCACGGATCTTATTCAGGTTGTCCTCAAGATCCCTTGTTGAGTAGATCTGTATAGAAACAGAAGGGAAACAAGATAGGGGAAGGGAACGAGGTGTAAAGGGCAGAAAAAGTCTCAGTCTGGCTTTGATAACCGGTAAATCTTTGTTATTAAATGGGCTGAATGTGCACAACTGTCTGAATTGATGCTCCTGTGTGCAGTGTACCTGGACAGTAGGGACATCTGTGAAGGCTTTAATGAAATCTTCTTCATCAACTGCCCCAGCACTTTCCTTAGATACTGCAAAATAAAAGCAAAGTCAATTAATGTGTTTATTTTTAATATTGCCTGCAAGCACTCAGCATTTCATTTATGTGATGGTTGGATTTGTAGTTCTGGTTTAAGTTCTGGCTGAAAAACAATGGCATTTCAAATTACACGCACACACGCTACGCCCACTTAAGTTAGTGGGAGCAGCCTGTGTTTCTAATAGACATCTTGCCAGTAATGGGCCTGTCAATCATAACTTTCTGGGGGTGGTGAGAAGTTCAGTGGACCATAGCAGTCTAAGAGGAATAGAGTGTTAAAGAGAGAGAAGAGAGGAGACTGAAGAGCAGATGTAAACATGGCGGAGGAGCACTTGGTATAAACATAGAGGCAGTACAAACATATCCTTTCCTCCTCTCCCTGAGGCTGGTTTCCACATCATACTGTACTACAAAGACACATCATGTCAAAACTCTACATTGTAGAGCTGGGAACCCTGGATGTAATCAGCTGCTGAGCTGTAGGCACTATCCTCTGTGACTTTCAGGGTCCAAGACAGTAGCAGCGTGGCCACCACTCATTCATGACTATTTCCAATTATTTTTATTGCCAGCTTTTTGAAATGATAAGGTTCATGGCATGTTATCAGGGTCAACTGTTATGACTGCAATACTAATTACAGTTCTGCTGACATGTGATGCCTTGCCAGTAACACAAACCAACTTTGATATCAGAAACACTTTATCATAAAAAAGTATTCTACCTTAAATTGTACAAAATTTAGTTACTTGTGGAAATGTGGGAGATTATATTGTATAAATGTGATTATTAACCAGCTGTTCGGGGGCTAAAAAAAGTCTACTGCTAGGAAGGTCAAACATTCTTTCTGGGAGCAGGATGACACTGAACCGAAATTCAAAACATACGCTTTTAAAACCTATAAACACTGAAATTATAATTTTTTCTGTTCTCCTGTAATGAAGACAAGCCAGTGAGACAGTTTATGCAATCATTATCTTTTTTTTTCGGTCTGAAATACATTGAAAACCACCTCATTTTGGAGTCCAGCCCACTCAGAAGAAAAAAGAACCCAGAGCTTCTCCTCTTGACCCAAAAGTCCCAGAAGGGGTTTTGTACTGGTGAAACGAACTGTCACTCAGATTGTAGCCAATCCCCCTGAACGGTAGTACTGCACCTTCAGAGTGGTCATGGCCTGATCCTTCCCAGTACAGCTTTAATTTTTTTTGTTTCTATTACTGTGAGTTACTGGTAAAATTTAAATATTCAACTTCTGTCTGAATCTTGCTGTTGGGTGTTGCCAGACTGTGTGGGCGACTACATCATCTAAATGCAAATGCAAATGCAGACAAGGCCACACATTGCTGCCATCACAGAAACTATTCTTATATAGCACAAGAAATGCCAGACAACCAATTCACAAAAAATTAAATTAAACACCTGAACAATATGACAGGCATCCCAACAGCCCCTACACCTCAGATGCAAGTGAGTGAATCTTACTGATTTGTGACAAAGGTAAAATCAGGTCTTTTTCACATTCAACTTCACAAGGTCAAAGATTTAGAGCTGTAGTTATGTGTGAAAATTACCCAGCATGCCCTTGATTTCAGCCCCTTGCCGTCTATCTACAATCAATAAATAATCTATGTGACAAAAGATCAGCCTTGTGTTTCCAACCAACAGCGCAATTACAAAGACTGCTTGCTTGTAAACACGCAATTATGAGCGTGTGTGTAACATTGCTGACACAGATACATCAGCAGGAGTCGAAGGCACGGTGGTGGGAACAGCTTTCTTACAGTAGAGAGGAAGACGGGAAAAATCGATACATGCAAAGAGGAAGCAAACATAACCCTCCAGCCATCTACAGCAGGAGGGAGACTTGGCAAAGCAGAGGATGCTCTCTAAACAGGAAGGTGATATAAATTGCTTCAGAGCCAGATCTTCTGCAGCCCTGAAATATTAGCACAGATATGAGGCTGATAAGAAAACGACAGCATCAGATTTCTGAGGGGAAGGAAACATGTTGCACTGAAAGCTTTATGACAAACTATCTGCCCCATTTCAAAGTCCTCACATCACGAATTCAGCTAAAAGTTAACCTTCAGTTAAGGGTGATGACTCAAAAGAATTGAAGTGTCGCCTCCTTTTGCATCAATTTTTTTTCTGCATGTTCTGCAGACAGGGTAACTGTCATCAATTGAGCCACCCTCTTGTAAAAACCAAAATATGCTCACACTTCAAACATAGTCTGCTTTAATGGATGAAAAATCTCCAGAGAATTGTCACTCGATCTGTCACTGTATTCCGCCATGTTTTCACTGACTGAAACAAACAAATGTTGCAGACTGCACTTGCGTCCGAGAACCTTTAGCTAACCTCAATTGATCCCGGACAAATTTGAAAAGTTTGAGTACACCGATCTGAACACTAACAACAGATTATCTTATCTCGTCTTTTGATTCATATGTATTTAGGTGAAAAAGAAAAGAGCACAGACACCAGGGTTGGGGTCAGTTTACATGCTAATTTAAATACCTAGTTTGCCACCAGTAGCACTGGGCCTACGTGCAGCGGAAGACTCTGCAGGCTTCTTGGGAACTTTAGGAACTTTGAAGGCAGACTGGGCTGATGAACGATTCCCGTCCACACTGTCGTCGTCATCAAAACTGCGATCTGGAAGAAGAAGAGAGCTGAGTGTTACCATCCATATCCAGGTTTTTGTAAATCCTTTTACTGAGTCAAGTAGTTACTATTGATCTCTCACAATACTGAAAATCATGGTCTTCAAAAACAAACCATAACATGATAAACTATTTTATTAATTCAAGTCTGCACGAGAATCATTGTAAACTATCAGTGAGTCCAGAATCACATGACCTGAAAAAGTCAAAAGGATCAACATCTGCCCTCACAAACAAAGCATGCTGAAAGCAGCTTCCTAAAATGTTAACTAAAAATCTATAATTATTCAAACCCTCAGGCTCATTATTATTATTATTATTATTATTATTATATGCCATGTTGTGAGAGCATGAAGCCATTAGAGGACAATGAACACTAGAAATAAAAGTAAAGGTGAGAAGCAAAGAACAGAGGAAGTTGTAGTCAGCTTGGTCAGGAATCATTTATCCATCCATCCATCCATCCATCCATCCATTTTCCTCCGCTTATCCGGGACCAGGTCACGGGGGCAGCAGTCTAAGCAAAGATGCCCAGACTTCCCTCTCTCCAGACACTTCCTCCAGCTCCTCCGGGGGACTGCCGAGGCATTTCCAGGCCAGCTGAGAAACACAGTCCCTCCAGCGTGTCCTGGGTCTTCCCCGGGGCCTCCTCCCGGTAGGACCTGCCCGGAGCACCTCCCTAGGAACGCGCCCAGGAGGAATCCGAAACAGATGCCCAAGCCACCTCAGCTGGCTCCTCTTGATGTGGAGGAGCAGCGGTTCTACTCTGAGCTCCTTCCAGATGACCGAGCTCCTCACCCTATCTCTAAGGGTGTGCCCCGCCACCCTGCAGAGGAAACTTATTTTGGCCGCCTGTATCCGGGATCTTGCCCTTTCGGTCATGACCCAAAGTTCATGACCATAGGTGAGAGTCGGAACGTAGATTGACTAGTAAATCGAGAGCTTCGCCTTAGAGCTCAGCTCCTTCTTCACCACGACGGATCGGTACATCGATCGCATTACTGCAGAAGCTGCCCTATAGTTGGAATCATTTAACCAATACTAATTACAATCACACCCCTGATTAGAACAAAACACAAACCCACATACATATACAATAATTTCTAAGAGCACAATAACAGATCTAACAGTCAGGCTGTCCACCCATTCCACCAGTGACTGACAGAACTCTCTGGAGTCCAAGCACTCAATCTATTTGCTAGCAGAAATCACGCTAGCTACAAAGCTAGCACTGAACTTGAGACACACTCGCAGTAATGGTTCAGCATTTGGAATGTGCATCTACCAGTGTCTTCCACATGTAGGAAAGGCTGTATATGATAACAAGTCAACTGTGGAGATCAAACTGTTGGCACAGGAATGTAGTTGCGTCCTGGTCTCTCTGACAACCAGTCATAGAGAAATGCGCCAAAGCCACCACCCTCCACCTCGGCTCATACATCAACTTACCTACACACAAACACAGTCAACATGCAAAATCAATGACAGGCATGCGCACGTCTCCTTACAAGCCACATGTTCACAGTGACCACAGAGCATACTGTGTCAACCTCGGTAAACGTTGAGTGGACATGTACAGAAACAGACATAACTGACATTGTCTTTTGTGAAACATTTACACAGTCATCAACACATACACACACCAACTCACACGGGTCCATCCCTGCACTCACAGTCACAGATCCGCTGGCAGATAAGTCGCCTCATGCTTCAGCGAGGGCGTGGCATTGGGGTCCCCCTCTTCTCCAAGCCGTACCCCCAAGACACATACACACAGTTCAGAGAGGGACTAAAGCTGCACACCCACACAGCTGTCTGTAAAGCTCTCCACCCATACAAGTGCCGGCATTTTCTTTCACTCCTCTCTAGCTTCTGTACCTCCCTCTCTCTCCCAGCATCTCTCCTCCTTCCCTTAGCAGCCTCACAGCCAGTCACACGAGAAATGACATCATGGTGTTGCAGCCAGTGTGGAGGCGGGACTATGAATGTGTGTGTGTGTGTGTGCGTGATAGGAGAGAAAGGGAGACAGACACACAGCACAGGAATATTAACAGGGCCTCTCTGTGTCCCTGCCAGACCAGCTAACATAAAGTCATTACTATTGACAGCACACAATCTCCAGCAGCTTACACTTTCTCCCAATATTATCAACAACCTCTCAACACTTTTTTGTGCTGCTACGTTAACCTGTGAGACAAGAAACGTTTTATTCATTCTCTCCTTCCCCACATACACAAAAGAACAAAAGCTGGAGCAATGATCAAAGGAGGGGAGATGAATTGGTGTAGTGGGGTACCACACCCCTCCATCTGAGGTCTTGCCACTCCCTCTTTCATACACACAAAGCGCAGCCTTTGAGTATGTGGACTTGTTTTGACTCTGAGGTCCAGGACACCAGATTTGAAATAAGGCAATGAATGAGGTTCAAGTGTTAACTTTCAGCTTTCATTTGAGAAGATTTGCATCCACAGTGGATAGGCAGTGAAGAAATGGCAGCCCTATTATAATGAATATGCAGTTGCCTAGTTTTAGGAGACAGATGTATTTACTATAAGCCCAAATAAATTATAACTAGCCTATAAATCTGTCCAACTTCAACCTAGAGGCACCAGAACACAGCCTTGCCTGGTGAACCTCTGCCAACTCTTTGCTGCAGTCATCTTGTTTTAGGGATTTTCAATTGGATTGAATTCAGGTGACTGACTGCTCCAACTACTCTGTCCTGAAATTGGAGTGCTACAGAACCACTTTTCTGATGGCTAAATCCAGTACATGAGAGGAGGGCAGTTTAACTCTCTCTATTCACACTTTACTTGTCAACCAGATGATTTGTAGCCATCCATCAAATGTTAACCTTACAAGCACCTACTACACATATAGGAACTATGCTCAGAACTTACAAAAATAATGTGTCCAGTAATTAGCAGTCAGGAGAAAAGGTTTACCATACCAAGCTGAAAGCATCCTGCAGCACACAAAGGGACAGCATGAGTGAGATGACTTATTAGGTCAGGTGCAGACTCCACCTTCTTCTGATTGATCAGGTAGGAGGGTCTCCCACCCAGACTGTTAGTGAATAAGGAGATAACCCCTCGAAACATTCTTACAACTAAACATGAACTAACCAACATTAAATAAAAACATACTCATACATAGAAATATATGAATCCTTTACGTAGTGAAATTTCAATGGTTAGTCCAATCAGATCATATAAGTGATACTTGTGCTTTGCAAACCTGGGTTTAAAATAACTTATTGATCAGCAACAGGGGTTAAATGTCTTTGCATATGGAGAAAAAGCAGTAAAACTATGTTTACCCAAAGACACTAAGAGAAATGACTTGGTCATACAATATGGGTCTTAGCATTGATTAGCATCACTGTTAGCATCTCCTGCTTTTGTCTAATCAGACCCCATGGGAGTTAATGTCTCAGGGTGAAGAGCACAGCAAAGACACCAGAGAGAGAACCGACTGCACACGTGCTGTTGCCATGGTGACTTGTGCAGCCCAGCTTCAGATGAAGAGCAGCAAATGGCAAGAAAGATGTTCAGTAAGCTCATGCACATACATTCTTATATACTATTTATTTTAACAAACAGTTGGGTTTAATGACACCAATTTCATGCTTGATTTATCAGATTAGGATGGATTCTGGTCTGATGGGGAGAAATGGATCTTCTGGTAGCATTTATGTCACCATGGAGATAACACACTGCCAGAAATATGGCACAACAAGCAAACAATAAATTTATACACACACACACACACACACACAGTGAGAGATATCAGCTCCACTGTGTACCAGGAGGTGTTGCCATGGAAACTCCAGGCTGAGATTCACTCCGCTCTCCATTTCTGGAGACGAGTCAAAAAGATGGGAGAAGATGACTGGCTTAAATGTACAGACCCATCCAGAAATGTGCTCAGATCAAAGAAATCTTAAGAACATATGCAAAAATATGAACTAATGCCTGAAAAACAAATATAATTTAAATCTACATGCAGAAGATTCAAGATATTTTATTTGCCATGTATGCACAAACAGACAGTCTAGGTATATAGGAATTCTTGTGCAGCTCTCCTTTGGAGTCAGGTAAGGAATCAAAAGCCAGAAAGAACACTTGGTCTTAAAATAAAACATTACATAAGGGCGACAGTGGAGGAAGTGAGGTAAAATGTGCACTACAATTTCTCCGTCTCTATCTAAAAAGAAAAGGACAGAAGAAATCAGGAAAACAGACTGAAACATAAAGATCTGATCACAGTCTTGCAGACGTTAAGTCATTACATCACAGATCTGTGAACACACACACACAAACAAACTGGTTTTCAGATGTGACCACATGGTGGCAGTACTGACTCTGTCCTACCTCATAGATGTATACATACACACATACACCCTGCATTGGGGCTACTCAGACATCACACAGGTGGCTGTCATGTTGGGATGGCAATGCCGCGCCTCCTGATGCATGTAGGTGTGTGAAGACTAGAGGTCCATCCACAACTAAAATAATCACAAGTCACTGAATTTACAACAAATTTTTCAACAGTTTAGTTAGTTCTAAATATCAAAAATATATTTATAATGAGTGTAAAGTGTCATCACAAATATTACAGCTGAAAATCTAACTTCACTAGAAGCAGAATCAGACATTTTCTGAACAATTTAACATTCTACATAGAGAGTCTGTTTAGGCTGATCTGTTGCAAGTGGCAGGGGAATATATATATGTCACATATTCCGACTCAGGACCATGTGCAGAGTCTGCAGATGACACAAAAAAATATTCTGATGTTGCAAAGCACTCATATGAGAATGAGAAGGGAAGAAGAACATGAGTAGCACTGCAAAAACTGGGTTGAGAGCTGATACAAAGCTACTGGCTGTCCCAACTCCAAAGTAAATGAGGAGAAGCATGTGTGCAAATAGAAGACTAGACTATGGAATCCGCTGCAAGTCCTGCAGAAAGTCGCTATGTTCAACTC